ATTGGTTGCTCCACATCGGCGGTGAATCATATTTCGCGCGACTATGCTCAGAAGATGTGGATCTTCGGAACTGCTGGGAAGATATGCCTGAACAGCTGCATTAACGGCCTCAGGGGTCCTTGGTTTCGCATCTGCTGCCATTATCAGAAGCATATGGCAGTGAGGAAGACCTCGCTTTTGCCACTCTACGATCCCCACATAAGCTGCAACACGTCCCAGAATTTTTTCTCGAAAAGATACTTCTGCAGCACTTCTAGCTTTTGATGGAATACGCGAGTCACCAAATCGGGTCGGTCTGAAGCGGACTGGCCAGGGTACAGGTTTTCGGCGATTTCCCTCCATTGAGGGTTGCAAGTAAAGGTAAGAAAGTAATCGGGTTTTCCATACCTTGCAACAATAGCCATCGCGTCTTGATAAGATTGATGCATAGCACGAGGGCTCCCACGAAATGAAGAAGGTAAAATTATGCGCTGTCCCGGAGGCCCGTCTACACCATCACTAGCCAGATGATCTGTAAGACCCTTATAACTATCAATTCGAAGTTCTTTTTGATGAGTGCGGGTATAATTCAGCCGATTCTGCTCTATTTTAACGTATGCATCGACTACAAATTGCTGCATAAGTTTTCCACCATGGTGAAGCGGATTGAAAGAATGACGTACAGCTAGCATGTTGGAGTAGTACTCGCGTTGTGATATTCTCGTGCGAATGCGAGTGCTAGGATTCTTTTTCAGATCAACGTGCCACCCTTTTCCTCCTCTAGGGAATAGCAGGGGATAAGTCAACGGATCACAGCAGGCGTCGATGTCCCGAATGATCTGCAGATTACCTCCTTTATGATGAATGGCAAAGGAGCGACTTGCTGGTACATCATCGTCCTCGCCTACATAGACAACGGCAACTTCGTTGGCAATGGGAACATTGTAGCGACGATGATCTACGTCCCGGGCATCATGAAAAACCATTCGGATTGTTGGCACTTGCCTGTTCTCCCTAAGGGCTCGACGCTCTTCCTCTGCAGCTATATCACCCATCATTTTCAATGAAGCCGCATAACTATTGTTCGAATGCAACCATAATGTCAGTTGCTGCATTACGGTGGCATCACATTGTGCATTCAGCGGATTTCCGCTTCTTTCAGCCGCTGCGGCATCAGTGTCTAGTATATACACTTGTCCAAATTGTCGACGAACGCCTGGCTCTGGTGTAATGGGACCCACATAATGATACACTTGTCCGTGAATCCTTTAACAGTATGGCCCAGCACCACGTGGCGTGTCCACTTGAGCCCCCATCGAAGCCATAGCCAGCGCGCTATTAAATGAGCGGATGTGACTGCGAAAATTTTTGCAAAGTTGGCTAGTTCCAAGGTAAAATGACCGGAAGAGCTCGGGAAAATCAGAAAACAAATCCAGAGAAACATTTGCAAAGTTACAGCAAACATTAAAACGTCCATTGACAGATGTACCCTCGCCAGGAAAGTACAGAGCTCCACAGTGAGCGCACCTGACGTTTAGGCGTCCTAGATAGTTTTCTTCTGTGCCATTCATAGTTAGCGCAATACCAAGATTAGAGGGTGTTCTTCGCTGCAAATGCACATTTCCAACTGAACTCATCTGCAAGTTAATGCTCAAATGCCTCGCAAAACAGAGTGGTTATTTATTCGATATACCTGAGCAACCGCTTCTTCTCTCAACTCCTCGTTCTCGTTGTGATGCGAAAGAACTTCATGGTTGTTTAGCTCAAAAAATACGGTTGTCCAAGAAGTATGATTTCAAGATAAAATACCATTTGATCAGATTCGAGCGGATCTTGAATCATTCTGGCCACTGAACTTGCATCTGATCGTCTCTCCACTTCAACCATTCTTCTTGTTCTCGCCCTTTTTGCATCATTCGCAAGGCGCTTTGACCTTTCCTGTTCATTTTCCAGTAATCTTTTTAATCTAGCCCTTTCCACCAATGAGGCGAGGCGATGTTTCCGTTCATCTTCAGTTTCATTGGATCTCCTAGACGCCATTCGTCTCGCATCAATCGCAAGACGTGATTGGTGTTCATGATCAGTCTCTTCAAGTCGACAACCTGATTGGTCAGTATTGCTAAGTAAGTCTGAAGCGGTGAGCTGCTCTGATTCCCCATGGTATTCTTGTGTACCGGAAATCAGAACCTCGGATATGCGAGGTTTTTCATCGTTTGAATTTCCTCTATTCTGTCCATTTGGGTCAGACTAAATCATGATAATGATCAATAAGAAATCTCAACAAATGGCAGGCTGACCATTAGTTGAGTATCAACGGAAGCAACCGCAGTGGTGGCTTCAGAGTAGTGCGAGAGTGGTAACTGTTGGCTGTCCTACATAGAAAACATGCGAATTAGTGAAACCACTGAAAGTGCAATCTTACCAAAGCTTCCGATCCATAAGCACGAGATGTACTTGGAAATTGACTATGTACATAGCCTTCTCCACGGTCGTGCTGTACTGAACTTTCTTGAGAATTCTGCTCGATCTTATCGCTGTTGGTAATTCTAGTTCGTTCTTTTAGCACAGCCGATCGTCTTGCTCTCGCCTTTTCCGCATCTTTCGCGAGACGGACTGACTTCTCCTCTTCAGATTCAACTGATCTTTTGAGCCTAGCCCTCTTAGCTAGAGCTGCAAGTCGTAACCTACGCTCGTGATCAGTCTCACTGGCTCTTTCAGATGCTGCTCGTTTGGCATGCGCCGCTAGACGTTGTCGGCGTCTGTCAGCATGAGTTTCAGAACTTCGCAGAGCTGCTAAGTCCGCATCATTCTCTTGCTGAACTTTACTCGATGAGTTCGACGCAAGCTAAAGTCATAATTCTAAATGCTTCTATCAAAAAGGAATTTGTTGTTGTAAATTGTTCACCATTTCGTTTTCATCTAAGTAGGCGGCATTCGAAGGAGAGCATTGTTGATTTTCCTCAGGCTCGCCAGATAAGGTCTGGGTATGCGAGGAACTCAATGAATTGTATGTGTTAACGGTGTTTATTGCCAGATCTTGTTCAAAAGCCGGTGTTGCTCCTTCAGTATTTGTGGAATGCGTATCCATCTGTAGCACAACTTGTAGCGAAATAAGCAGTGTACGATAAGCGTTGAGTTACAAAACATCACCTACTTAAAAGGTGATGTGAATCGGCACATAAGTAGGATTGAAAGCTTGAAGTATTCGCAGTTTACTTGTGAAGAAGAAGTGGTTTCAAATCGCCTCTATATGCTAAGTCCTCTAAGCATTTTCTACGCAGCATCTTTCACAATAAATCCGACTGCATATAGTACATTGATGACCATGCCTTATTGAATATGCAGCCGTCCAGCGAATGTTTCCGCTAAGTCAAAAGCTGGAACCTGCTGCCCCTCATTTCTTAAAAACTGCAGATACTGTTCTTTCGTCTACTGATACTGGAGTACTGATACTGGAGTCAACCAATGTGAACAATTGCATAATTTGGAACCAATCAACATTTGGTTCCAGATTGGTACAATATTCGAGAAGTTTAAAAGTGCATATGTGAATATGGACGCGCATTCGAAACCTAGGATCCGTTCCAGCGAAATCTGCCTAAAATGAAGAAACTCCACTCCCAATGCTATTGTTTATCGACATATCTCGAAATGGAACCTAGTTATTAGTTGAAGCACACAGATTATTTTATTTAGCTTCTTCTTAAAAAATAGAATCGGCAGAGTGATGTGGATGTCTCAAAACAATTATCGATGAACAGATTAGACTTGCTTAGAATGGAAAATTGCGCTAGAATTCCGTCATTCAGGCGACATAAGCAGCAGCAGCATCAAGATTTTGCAAAAAATCATATTCCTTTCTGGTTGAGTACACAAAAAGGGTTCGAAGAGGAAAATAGCATTTTTTAAATCCCTGTTGAAGGCAATGAAGATGTTTTAAAGTAAGTCCAGGATTGCTTTGCTTTTTGAAAAACAGCTCTTAGGTGATTACGAATACTCTATACCAAAGAAAGTGATTTCGAAAGAAACATGTCAAAGTAGAACACAATCTGTTAATTTTTGCGACACATGGCAAGGACCTAGTTCTCGTAGAATCTATGTTATTACTATAAGTTCAAAAGTCCAGCTTTTTGTAAATACAGAGAACAAATCTTTGTAGAAGCATACTTGCAGAAAACACCGAAGATAATTTGATTTAGAACCTAATAATCGATGCAGGTTAACTGTTTGGAACATATGACAGAATTGATTTACACATGGTAGTGCAAAGGCCAAGAAGCATTTTGCAAATGGGAGTTCCAAGAAAGCATAAAATTGAAAGAAAAATAGAGCAAAAGGGGCCAAAAATTCAGCTGAAATAAACGTAGAGACTTTTTTCGATTTGCTTAATTGCATGATTTCGGTTGACGAAGCAAGGATCAAAACATTGACTTTTGCACTCAAAACCTTAGCATACATTCGTTGAATTTGTAAGTCATTTTGAAAGCGAAATTGAAACATTAAATGGTGCGCGTTGATGCCAGAGTAAGTGAAAAAACTGTAGCAAATCGGCAGAAGATTCTGACAAATTTGAAATCGTGTATGTCGATGGTTTGGAAGCCTAACTGGAATAATGTAGAGAGAGACTGATCAGTCAACATGTTAGACTGTACTTTTGTACCCAAAACCATGATACCGTCTTGAATTTTCTGGAAGCTCTCAAATGTTTACGCAGTACATGGCCTGGCGAATGCCAAGGATCACTTCTCGATCGCTCTTTGGAGTCAACATCAGTCGTTTGCGTATATATGGGCTGGCGAATGCCAAAGATCACTTCTTGATCGCTCTTTGGAGTCGACATTAGTTGTTTACGCAGTACATGGCCGTCTAGCGAATGCCAAGGATCATTTTTTGATCGCTCTTTGGGGCGCATATACAGACATGTTTACGTGGACATACAGACGCGCTGACTCACATGGGGGTGCTTGCGCTTTATATAGAGTAGGATAGTGATTCATTGATCAATCAAATGCTGTTTTTAGTCTGGAATGCAACAATTTCGGACCAGGAGAATGTAGTGATAATAGAAGATTCATGTCGACATGGCCATTTTTCATGATTGGCTTCTTTGTTCTACGCATTATCGAGTACTTGTTGAGAAAAATATTCATCTCTGAACTATGCTATCGCCACCACGACACCAGAGAAACCATGGAAAATGTGAGATTTTATTCATTATTCGTGTATTAAAATGATTAGGCATTAATTTAGAGGGAAAATAGAGCGAGAAAATATGCTGCTACAATCACACTGGTTTTTTCTTTAATGCTCTACTCTGCAGTGGAAGGAATCAGGCTTTTTGTCCAGGTAGTTTGTTCGAACTGGCATTCGGCAAGTTTCAAAGCAGTCATAGCTAGAAAAGAATTGGTCTATGTCCCGTGTGCAATGAGCGAGGATTTTTTTTCCGAGATCGAGCAGCCCAAACATGTCGAAAGGACTTTGCGACTAAAGGGCTCTGTACCGTGCTGCATACTGCCTGGAGAATCGTATGGCATAAGTTTCGCTTTCCGAAAAAAGTTAAACGGTTAAGCGGCTTTCTTGGAAAATCGAGAAAGGTGCGCCATCTATGCATAAAACTAGAGTAATCGTTCACAGCAAGAACTTGTAGAAAGTAAGCAGTATAAGCAGTCTTCGAGGAAGTCAGTCAGTCGCAGAAGTTGCTCACAAAGAATTTGAACCACAAGAAATCAAATCCTTTATTTTCACATCTGCGAAGCTTTCTTATACATCTCCAGCATAGCTTTTCTAAGAAAGAAGCTTTAAAATATGGAAGACAAGTAGCGTCGGTAATTGCATGATTCTTGAACACTACTAGCAGCAAGTCTAACTTGAAGCCCCTACAAAACCTCGCAACTGGACACAGCGGCCACTCTGTGCGGTTTTGAGCAGGAGGCATCAAAATTTTCATCGCATTTGCAAGGAATTCCCGCATCTCGTCTAAGGCAATAAGAAGATGTCAAGTTGCTCAGGGCATATGAATGAATCTACGCCCATAGAGGTTTTCGGACTTGCTTGTACGAAAGTAGTACTCTTGGTGCACCGTAAACTCTTTTAGCAGGGTTATGTTGAGAGAAATGCTGCGATACCACGCAAGTTCCTATTGCCTGCACTTTTCGCTTATCTGTTGGACAAATTACTGTTTCCTTTCATAACTTGAAATCACTAGAAACAGTGCTATCGGAACATGCTTGAAGGTAGTGGCTCGGCAAATCTCAAGCTAGTGAAATTTTCACTTACCTGGGGTTATTCAATACGCTAATCCCGAAGATGCACTTTTGAGAGCTTGAAAACGGCGAAAACGAGCGTTTTTCAATGCCCTCCTTTTTGAAATTGGACGAGTGGAGCAAGGCTGATGACGCTGAATCGTTGTAGGACCCAATGGTTATAGCATCTCTGACATTCGGTGCGTGCGGCGCGCGCTTGTTAATGGCCAGCAGTGCGGCCCGCGCGCCTAGATTTACGGGCGGGGTCATGTACCGTGCGGTCCGCGCGCCTTGTATTCTTAGCGTACGGCCCGCGCGCAATATATTCTCTCCGTGCCGCCCGCGCGCCTCCAATTCTCACACGCTATAAGCGTAATAGGTACCCGCGTGAGGTACGACGCTATGATTAGGCTGCTCCATCACTTGTGAAGCTGAATTAGGTAACATTTCTTGGCATTTGAGTAATCGCAGGAACATAAGAAGTTTCTTACTTCTACGGAGGATATCCCTCGACAGCGTCCCGAATGGGTGCCGAATTTGAATTTTGAATTCTGTGAATTCAAATTCAAATTTTCGAATTTTTTGAATTCGGAATTTTTTTGGACTGTGAAGTTGAGAATGCTCACGGCACGACGAAAGAAGAAAAAGAAGATCTATGAAAGAGACTTATTCTCTAGTAGCTTGCGGACGGAGCGCTTTCGATACCGTGCGGCCCGCGCGCATTCACCGTTCGGCCCGCGCGCACGGAGCGTTCGGCCCCCGCGCACGGAGCGTTCGGCCCCCTCGCACTACAAGGCGCCGCACGGGGAGCACGCGCGCGCCGCACGGACCGAATGTCAGAGATTGCGGCGGGCAGCCTCCAATGGTGAGAAGGAATTTGACAACTCGTCCGGATACGTGTAAGATTAGTCTGCGCGTGTAAGTTTGAGACCAATTTTCTCGGCAGGGAAGGCACGCTGTGCACCGGAATTGAACCGTTTTCATATTTGGGCGATAAGGAACCTATCGCGTTGAATCCTGAGTTGTTGAGTTTTGCCGACCCCACTGCCTTTAAGCCAGGTTTTTGTCTGTGTTGTTCGCCGAGCTATGCGCTTACGAACTCATGCCCTCATGAATATCGTCCAAAGTTTGAAGATCGCATACTTTGGCCAAATATCGTCGTGAATGGTTACAGAACCCTCTGATCGCAGGAAATCTTGTGTTCATGTATATCACTACGTAATATATTCTGGATTCGTTGTTCACCGCTTAGCCAACCCTGATCCGTGGAACACGGCAAACGAGGAGGCAGCAGACGGAGAAATTATGATGAAATGTACAGATGTTCATTCTTGGATTGCTGCCAAGTGGCATGCGTTTTGGAACGCTGCCAAATTTCGTAACGAGTGACCAAGCATATTTTCGTAGAATGGTCACGCGTATTTCGAAAGGCAATCATGAGTGGCGCAATGATTTTGAGACTGGGTCGCCAGTGTCCGGATATGTTATTTGGACCTGCTTTTTTCTCGAGCTTATTATCCTATAATGTGTCTTTCAAATATATTTACTCCTTTTGGTTGCTTTTGAAATAATGCCAAATTGCGTAACAGCGTGACTTGAGCTAAATTCATCTATGTTCAACTCTTGATAAAAATGCTTCAACTAAGAACAGTCACTTTAGGATTATCTGCTTCCGCGTGTAGACAAGAGAGTGCGTGAGTAACTTGGTCTCGCTGGTATCTTTGGAAGCGTTTACCTAACAACAGCCTTGCTTTTGCTTGTGTAACTGGATATCGATGTGTAAGCGGCACGTAGGGCAACTCGATCGGGCAGGGAAACATATTTTTGTACGTCTGGGGCAGTTCTCAAAATTGAAGGTCCTAAAGTGGCACGTAGGGCAATTCACGCTGTAAATACTTGATTTCGTTGTTTTCTTTTTGTAGGAATATAGTTGGTATTTCTCATTATACGCTGTTCAAGCAGCACATAGGGCATAAACTTTCTTTTTAAATAGTTACTATCGGTCTGTAAGCGGCACGTAGGGCAATTTGATCGGGCAGGGAAACAGATTTTTGTACGTGGGCAGTTCTTATGATTTTTAAACAGTATTTAAACGGCACACAGGGCATGAACTGTCCTTCAGATAGATAATATTGCTTTGTAAGCGGCACCTAGGGCAATTTGATCGGACAGGGAAACGACTTTTCGTACGTTTGGGGTAGTTCCTATGATTGACGGTCTTTAGGTGGCTCAGCAGTCCTGCTTTTCGGGAGGATCTCCTTTTGTAGTAAAGCTTCATATTTCTTTGGCGAAAAATTTGAAGGATTTTTTGACAAAGTTCTTAGACTATTGATTTCGTTGCTGTCGCAACTGATTCTGAGAGAAAAGTGTTTTTTGTAGTACACATAATTGTTATGGGTGTATATCTATCAGGTTGGTGCAAAAGTAATGCGCGTTTTGCGAGTGTTCACTTCGACGTGCTATCACTTTCCAAAAATCCATATTCTTCAGTGCGGTAAAAGCCCTCGGAGGCATCAAATGTTTCTCAATACAGCGCACATGTACCTATGCTCATATCACCAATCAGCACAAAAATATGGACTGATAAGCAAAAAAATTTTTTTTAAATTCCGTTTCTAACTGATCATAACTCCCTTCAAATTTTGTCAACGTGAATGACAAATGTTCTATCTTGTAGCCGCACCAGTAGTACAAAAAAGTAGAAGTGGGCTCAAACAAAGAAGATTTGAAAAGAAAAAAAAATTAATATTCAAAATTGTCCGCTTTTTTCGACATTTTTTGAAGGCCTCAAAATCCCAAAATATGGAGATTTTTGATTTTTTGTGTACTGGACAGCTTCCACATTTCTGCGAAAACTGCCAACAGGAGGCCCTTACGCTTACAAAATGAGCAAAACTTTGGCGATTGCCCTTTTCAAAGGAAATCTATGGGACACAGAATGGCCAAAACCACTGCTCATGTTGAGGCGCCCAAATCTAAAACTAGGCTATTTCTAAGAAAATAGTAAAATATGCATGATGTAGAAAATATCTGTTACATGCAACTGTTAAATTTTCAAAGGAATGCCTTTATTCGGGCTTGAATTCTGGCCAAAAAAGTAAGCGCAATAAAATTCTGGTTCCGAGTGCGGTTGCATGAAGCTCTATTAACTTCTAACAAATGAGGCTAAAAGCTCCTTTCAAACACCATTGGATAGAGCAAGAAAGAGCTTCTTAAAATTATATAAGTTTTTCTCAAGGAGAAAGTTTGATGGAGAAACGTTGTCCTGAAACAAAGGCTAGAAAACGCGCATTACTTTTGCACCAACCTAATACTTCCAAAACGGTAGGTGTCCTGCTACTTACTTAACGATCTTTTATGGAACTTGTTGGGAAGAACTGGAAGAACAAATTTTCTTTGAGAGGGTACAAAAGTGGGGGGGGGGGGTTTGTTTTTGCTGGAGAACTAATTTTGGAAAAGGTAATACTTCGCATAAGTTTTCAAATCTTTTTGCATAATTCTCTTGCAAATAATTTTCTATGTATACAGTTCAATTCTGGTGTCATACGATTCTGTGTGCGCTGCAAACAAGCAATTTGTATAATTTAGCCTTACTTTCAAATCGGGCGCACTTTTTGCCATATACGATAGTGCCATACATACACCATGTCAATCATGTGATAACCTGTCCGAGCTTATTCTTGGTGCTCGGTCCCGACTGGTCAAAAACGATGTTTCCTTTGCTTTTTGCTCCAAGAACGAAGTCCAGCCTGCTTCCAGACGATCTGTGCCGGGCCCTGTTCTCTCTGTGTTAGTAATCAGTATGCTCCTCTCTTCCCCACCAACCCCCAGCCCGTAGCTCAAACTTTGCAACAAAATCAATAAAACCGATAAGAGTAAGGATAATTCTAAAAACTTATGGCGCTGTTCGGCTATCCGGGCCCCAAAATGTTTTTGTGACGGATCTTGCTCAAACTCGGTATATGGGGGTTATTCACGCCGCTGATGACGAATATCGTAGTCATTTCGCGCGATAGCACCATTTTCTGGGTTTACGGTGAGACGTGAGAAACTTTGCATAGGGGGGGGGGGGGGGCTAATTGACATGCCGGTTACGAATATCATACTCCTTCGGCATTTTGGGGCGTCTTCATGGATGGTACATGGCAGCGGGTAGAAATCATGAACCCGCGCCTGAAACTTTGGCAGGGAATTACCTAAAGTGCTGTTTCAAGGATATCGTACTCAATCCCCACGATAAAGGCAACGTGTGGTATAGAAGGTTTCCCACGGTTTCGTAATGCTTTCCTTATGGGATCACTACCGCGCGCATACACCCTTCGGCGGCCTTTGCCTAAGCAAAGAACAGGGGGGAGGGAAGAGATTTACCGCGTGCCTTACGCGTTGGGACAGGTTTTCAGGATGGCGCCCTGCAAAACGACCGTTTCTCCATTTCGTGAATATCTGGGATCTAAATTGCCCGAAAGCGAAAAAATGTCCATTCAAACCCTGCAACTCACCGTAATTTCATACTAATGCGTAATGACAGCGAGCAAGCATCATATTCATGAGCAGCATGCTTGTAAACCTTTCCAGGTAAGGTTCTGAGCAAATCTGGAACTTCGAACCATCTACACCCACCGTAACCCAAGAAAATGCACTATCCTGCGAAATCAGCATGATATTGATGTTCAGCGCGCTAAATGACCACCCTAGACGAAGTTTAAAGCAAACGTATGTTTTCGACCCCATGCCATATAATCACCACAACTCTAAGAAGAGGTCCCAATATGCAGAGAGAGTGTGGAATTCGTAATCAGCATGTCGAATAAGTTCTCTGGACCGAACTCCAGCCGAATTCATGATTTTGACTTTCTACCGTACACCTATCGTAACCACATGGGGAGACTTTCTGCGACGAAAGTGTGATATCTGTAAGCATGTAAGATAACCCTTATACACGAAGTTTGAGCAAGCTCAACGACAAAAAAATTTTGAGGCCCGGATAGCCGAATAGCGCCAGCGCCAAACTAATATTGCACTCGTACTCAGCACCAGTAATTACGCCCTGTGCCATCTCCCAGCCCCGTAGCCGGAACTTTGCAAAGAATTGATAAAATCGATAAAACTAATGGATAATCCCAGAACTAATATTGTAATCGTAATCAGCATGCTCGGTTACCCCCCCCCCCCCCTGTGCCAACTCACAGCCCCACGGCTTAAACTTTGCAAAACATCGATAAAATCGATGTCGATCGATGATGAAAAGTAGCCTATGACACCCGCCCGGCCCCGAAGTATATGTGCACCAAGTTTGGTCCGGATCGGTTTAGAAATGGAATTTTCTATTCGGGACATACGCAAACACAGACATACAGACAGAGAGGCAAATAGACATTCGTTTATATATAAGACAACAAGCTGCTGTCTGTCTGTGTGTCCGTGTGTACGAATGTGATAGAAACTTTTTATTCTGAACTCATCCGGACCCGACTTGGCACAGATAAACTTGTGCGGGGCAGGTGTGTCGTAGGCTACTTTTTGTTATCGAAAATCAATTTTATCGATTTTTTTGCAAGTTTGCTACGGGATGGAAGTGGCGAGGAATAAGTGAGCATGCTGATATTACGAATATATTACTGACAGATCCGGGGGAGCCGCAATTGCCAGCTAGGGTGTAATGATTGTCTGTCTGTCTGTATGTATGTCTGTACGTTTCGAATAGAAAATTTGATTTTTGAACCGATTCGGACCAAACTTGGCACACATACATTTGGGCGGGGCGGGTGCCAGGCAACTTTCCATCTCCGATCAATATTGATCTCATCGATTTTTTGCCAAGTTGGGCCCATGGGGGCCCAGTAAGCATGCTGATTACGAGTACAATTTTAGTTCCAGGGTCATCGATCATCTTTATCGATTTTAGCAATTTTTTGCAAACTTCGAGCTACCGATTAGCAGGGGATAAGTGAGCATGCTGATTACGAAAACTATATCAGTTTTCAGAATTATTAGAATTTTTAGAATTCAGAAGTAACGCAAGATGGTCACCCCATGATTACCTAGAGAAATCACTGCACACCCCCATGATTACCTAGAGAAATCACTGCATCTGACATTACGCGCACAAGATTTTTACGTAAGCTCCCTCTATGTCGTAAGTACTGGTTCAGACATCTGAGGGCTTAGTGAAGAGTAGACCATTGCAAATTACAAGTTTATGCTGTTCTGTGTATTAGGTAAAAGAGAGATAAAGACTATATGTCTATGTAAACAGCAAATATGGAAATTTTTTGGTTTGTACTTAATCTATAACAGAAAATCTTAATGATCAGTGCGCCATTATTTGATTCAGTATCGGGCAGTGATAAAAAGCATTTCCCTGACATTATCATGGAACATTTGCAGTAATATGTTCTCGAAATTTTCCAGTCATTGTATTCGAACTTTGCGAGTACAGCCTTCGGCAGAGTTATTCCTTATTCCATAGTGGCCGTCTCGATTGCGCTGAAGCTCAGCGAGGCATCGCTTACTGTTTGCCTAGTTGCACTTGCCCTCATATTCTCTTCTGGTTTTCTTGGAGGAGTCATTGGATACGCCATTCAAAATCATGACGATTATTACGTTGGACCATCCTTTTATCACTACGAGGTGAGCTTTGCGAAATTTTTTAAAAAAACGTATCCACGAAATTGACATGCATTTCAGACGTTACCCACATGCAACGAATACATCTCCTCCGTGATAATGACACGGAAAATTCTTGCGCAGACATTGTTAGGAGCAATGACTTTTTTCACTTTCTTCATGGTAAGTCATCGTATTAAGGGTGGGGAGGGAATCAAACTGAATTAAAAAAAAGAAAATGTTTGATGCGACCAAGTAAGATGAAGAGAATAGCATGAGCAGTGAATGACATACTCTCACCAAACCCTAACTTCTCGGCCGTTTTTTCAATCGATTCCATTGTGAACAACATATTAACTTCAGCATCAAATTTCATAAAATCCAAAACCTTCATTGCTTAACGTACACCGACACAGAGGTTTCCAGTCTAGCACCACATGAAATAGGGGTGCCATGTTATCAGTATGTCAAAATATCTCCGTTGACGTCAAGTAAAATTTCTAGGGTGTCTTTATGTATGATTTTTCATAAAGTAATATCGTTCTTGATTTATGCTAAAAATAACGTTTCATATCGTTGTCAAAAAAGTGGATCTAGAATTGTTGCCCGAATTCATCGCATTTTTATACATTGAGTGCTTTCACTCCATGACCACCAAAAGACCAAAACAAGCCAAGGTAAGCTCAAATGCTTTGTGAACAGGGTTGTCGGCAAGTACGGTCACTTAACATGTAATATATCTATTATCGCGAATCTTGTGACGGCCAACTATATTGAATTATGAGTTGCACGAACTAAACTTTTCTGATATTACCAAGACAACAAAATGTGTTCCTGCTTTAGAAACACTGCGCCGCGTCAGTACCGCCATGTTTACGGTACTCACCGCATTTCGAACAGAGATTTTTGTTGTTGGAGCGCAGTCTTATACCTCAGGCTATCTCTACAAAACCTCATATCTGAAATCTACTCTGCTTGATCAAAATGTAACAACTTCACTCAGCATTTGCTGCTGAAATCTGCACGCTGAAATCCCACATAAATTTTTTATAATTTTTGGTACCTGGTTCCAACTCTGAATTGCGCATTTACACACCAGCGGCGGTCCAGGATTTCCATAAGAGTGGAGGGGCGGCAAAACTTTTTTCAAATAAAAGTACTTGGCATTAGCCACGCACTCCGAAAAAAATTTTTGAGGTGCTTCTCAAGACTTCAGCGGGCCCATAATCCCCAAAGGTCTTGACGAAGGGGCAAGGCGGCAGGAAAAACTTTTTCACAAAGAATTTGATTTTTGAGGATTTTGAAAAATATTTCAATTATTTACAAGAACAAACAACTCACTTCCACATTTTTATAACCAATGTAAGTGAATTTGAGAGATTGCACCCATTCTTGAAAGGGGGAAGGGGGAGAGCCCTTTTCCCTCGGATCGCCAATGTTACACACCAATTATGAAGTCATATCACTTGTTCTTAGCTGTAAACAAGCCTTTTGTTTAATTCTGAGCACATTTATAAATTTTTGCGCTTGCACGAAAAGCGGGGAAATTGCGTTTTGCAGACGGTAGGGCAGCGATGAGCACTTGCGACGTCCCCAGAAGATGAGGAGGTGAGTGAAAGAGGATGGAGGTGGGGGGGGGGGGGAGAGATGGGGAGAGGAAGTGATTGTGAGGTCGGAGGAGCGATGATTGAGAGTATGTATGTGAATATCTCATGTGACAATAGCGATGGGATATTTTGTACTGAAAATGTTGAAGTTTTGTGAGGGGAGGGCTGCAACAATTTGTTGAATTGATGGGAATGAAGTTGATCAACTCCTGGAGTTTTTTTTACTCGATTACCTTCATATGAAAATCCAATGCTAGAGGCCTTGCGTGATTGGAAGGTTTTTTGAAGAATTCCTTACCGCTCTTGAGACTCCGATTTTTCACAAAGCGATTGCCGTTTATATCATACACCATACTAAGTTAATATATGCTTTTTACGGGACTCCGCCCCGGATTCAGAAAAACGGTATCTTTTTTGCTTTTTATGTCCAAACTACATCCAGCTTGCCTCGTAGCACTCACCTGTGTCGACCTGAGCACAGTATCGTACTGGCAAAGATGTCTTCGTTTTTACATAAGAAAGTAACTTCATCAAACTTTGTTTAGTACGGAAAAATTTGCAAGTAAAAATGTAACGCCCCATTTCTGGACACTGTAGAACCTACGTTCTTCTCCTAACAGATGATAAAAGTATGGGCGGAAGAGCTCTTTCACTGATAATGTTAATTTTATCAGGCGCAAATATACAAAAGTCCAGGCTGCTTGAGCAATTGTAGGCTTGAGCCTGACTCAGTCAACTTAATTTCATGTCCGCTCCATCTTTGATAAGACCGAGCTGGTGGGCTTAGAACCTGTTCTTGCCATATCATGATAATGGCAAGAACAGGCATAATGGCGAATTCTCCGTTGTTGGGAGACTTAGGCAACAATAATAACATGAAAATGCCTGCGCCACGTGCTCTAAGGCTTGAAATATACCTGACGATGGGTGGCTATAGCTGACAATAAGGCGCTGCCAGCAGCAACGCCTTTTATGCGTATCGAGTGACGCCATGCGACGCTGCTGCTTCTAGCTGCTGCAGCCAACGCGATTCAGACCCGCTATAGCTGGCGATGCTGCGCTGCTCGTAGCTGCTCCTCGCTGCTATGCGATATGAAGCTCACTTTTGGTGAGCTTCTCTCGGCTGCTTCACGCTGCTAGCGCTGATTTTGCTCGGATTTGCCCGTTTCTAACATCCTTTGGACTTCTGAAGGATTTTTAGAGCGCTTGTTGCGTTACTAATCTGTGACAAATTTGCAAGACCAAAACGCAAATGCTTCGATAGTAAAATTAACAGAGAATTGACAAAGTGGACGAAGAATTGAATATGAAAAACCGCACAGAACTTATGCGAAGCAAAAGTGAAATCAAAGGAGTAACAAAAAAAAGTTAGAGGATTTACGATTTAGTGGATGTTACCAGTACATCTCAATACATCAATGGCAACTATGACCTAGGTCGTTCGGTTTTTTGCCTCAAGCACAAATCAAGATTCTACTGCGACACCGCTTAAATAATCGTAATGATTATTTTCTTAGTACCAGTGCAACATTTGGTTTGCAAGTGTATGCTTCTTAAAAAAAATTTGTCGATGAGAACAGGATGACTTTTTTGGACTCATGTAAATCATATTCTTCAGTTTTTGGTAGTTCTCAAAACTTACTTTCCTAATGGGCTAAGCTAAGCGTAGTAATGGGTAAAGCTACTCGTTCTTGCACCCAGATCGTACCCAGCGCAGCAGCCACGAGCAGCTAAAGGCAGCGCAGACATCAGCGATTCGCCAACACCCGCTATACCTCTATCGTCAGGTATATCTCAAGCCTAAGGGTGCCTTCATACCGCTTCTGCCGCTAGCAGCCCGTAGCAGCCAGTAGCAGCACTGGCAGCCCGTAGCAATTGCTGGCCGCTTTTGTCATAGAAGCGCAAAATCATCAAATTTTTATTATTTCAAGTGCAACCGCCCCTTTCCATCTTCCACGATTTTCCCTTCCTTTGCCGCAGTTCGATCTCATATATGATGATTGTGTCCATTGTTGTTATTATCTTGTTGCCGTACATTGGCTATCCTAATGGTGCTCAGTTTCTTTGCGTCTAGTTCCAGCACTGTTTATTTTTTTTATATGGTTCAGATTCAATCATATCCTTGGCCGGTGCTTATCTTGATTACTCTGTAATATGTGAGAGTGGAAAACTGCACATTAGCCGCAATAGGAAGAAAGAGGCGTGGGAGATGAAAAGCGTGGGCAAGCGCATTCAAAGTAGTAGGAATTTGATGATTTTGCGCCTTTATAACAAAAGCGGTCAGCGGCGGCTACGGGCGGCTACGGGCTGCTACGGGCTGCTGGCGGCTGCTGGCCGCTGCTGGCCGCTGCTACAGGCTGCCAGCGGCTGCTATGGGCTGCTAGCAGCTGCTGCCGGCGCCGTATAAAGGTACCCTAAGCACCACGTCATGCCGAACGATGCACCCATGCGGTTAAGCCCCAGCCTCACCAATCCACGTAATCTACATTATGTTGGGGGAAGGCATATAGGTTGATGTCGAGGTTATGTGCAATCGCACAAAATCGGAGCTACAAATTTCAGTATCCTCTCAAAAATGCTGATTTCTCTCCAAAGTGTAGTTCTATGGGATTGTAAAGGTGAAGGGGAGAGCGAAGGATAGTTCGGATAGCTAAGGACAGTGTCCGGGCAGAAACTCGATTTTTAGAAAATTCTTTTGCCGGGGTTATTCGCAACGCTGAATCCGAAAATCCACATTAGAAGGCGCAAAAACGGCGAGAACATGCGTTTTCCAAAGCCTTCTATTTGAAATTCGATGGTGCCTGCCGGGCAGAGACGCAGAGTCTCGGCGGGACCCTACGATTTTGACTGTGGCGGCATGCGTACTCTGCCGCGTAGCAGGAATTCGGACAGCTCGGAGGACCCCGCTCCAAGGCCTAAGTCTCCCCACTTTTCGGTCGCTTTTCTTGCTTTAGGTCGAATGTCAAGGCCTCGCATTTGCGCGATGTTGTGTTCGAGAAGGGCCACTTTCGCATGTCACCGAAATCCCGAAACCCCCAACTTGCCCGAACACTGCCTTTAAGCAAGGGAGAGGCCGTTTTTTAAAAACGTGTGCCGACTCAAGTTCCACCCTGGGTTTTGCAGACTACACTACAGTGGCACCCCTTGCAGCCCAGTTGGAGTGACTGCTGGTTTATCAACGAACTTAGTGAGGAGATTAGCCCATAGTTCGGTATTCATAAGCGCCTCCGCCGCCGGGTTAGCTTACCAGCAGCGCTAAATCAGCAGAGTGCCCACTGACTCTATTCAGTGCAGTTTCGGCGTCCTTACATTGTGCGTTCTTCACATTATTGTAGTTTTGTTCATGTTTCTAGCTCTCCACTATGTAGTTATTCTCGCTGGGTCATCTAGCTCAGCAGAGACGCTCGACGCCATGAAAATTCTCAAAACGTAATAGCTCTGCATTCTTACTATGCAAGATAATTGTTCGTTTCGACAGCATGACTGATGCATTGATCAAAAGCTTCCACCTTTTCAATATTCGACATCCTCCAATGGCATACAAAAGTACTCAAAATTTACAAAGGTTCTTTGGAATTAAGATTTAGAAGTGCGTGTGTTTGCATACGCCATGAAACTTGAACTCATTGAGCAAGAGACAATGTCTGGAAGGAATGGCGTCTGGTGGAGGCGTTTGGCGGCGTAATTCCGTAGATAGAAAAAGACTGCAATCTATTTTCAGACCCGAAGAAAACGACATAGTCGAAACATAGAGTCAATAACGATACCACCCCAACAACTCGGATTTGGCATAATCACCACATGTATGCACCCACATAAAATGCCCAGGTTCACTGAGGGACAGTTGCAAAAGGGCACGTTTTTAGGTGATAAATCGAAGCCAAAACTTGCAGAAGCTGAATTGAAACTCAGCGCTATACATTTCGTATTCGCAAGATTTTGCGACATCGGTCTACCACTAGCTCCGGTATTCGGAGCTTCTTTCAATCGAGAAATACATCTCTGATGTTAGAACCCAAAATTCAAGAGCTTCACCTGTATCATGGCGCAAGCAGCGCTCTTCTTGAAGATCTTGCAGAACGGCACCCCTAAAAACCTAATCAGTATTTAGGGTTGTCAGTACACATGGCCAAGATATCGTTGATTAGGACCAGTAATATAGATAGAACAAAGAAGTTCAGCTTTTATTGGCAGAAATTTCTAACAGCCCAATGTACCTATGTAAGGCGGCACTGACAGGGAAGGCAACTGAATCAAAATTGATCTTTTCTAAGCAATGTATATTATCTGAGAGATCCTGAGGAGCTGATTACAAATGGTCTTCGGATTTGCTTAAAGGCAGCGAGTGGGGCATGAGGACATTCTCGGATACTACCGTAACCGACTACGGCCTCGATCTAGAACTTTCGCGCAAATCCGACTTTCGAACAAGCCTTGCAAAAGGAGAAAATCGGAGCGGAAAGGGCCAGACCACGCCCACTCCCTCCCACGGCGCGAATCCCCGAACGAACTCTCCCCAGCCTTTGACGTGTTTTCACGTGGCACAATCGAACACATAGTGTTTATCTGTTAATGCTTGCTTTCGACAGCATTAAAGGCAGTGTCTCACCAAAATTTAGTTGCCGAGATTTTTGCATTTTACAAGCCTGTCGAACCCTGTTTAGCACTGTATGGGCTTAAAATCGCATGAAGCTCCCAAAAACCCCGTTCTCTGGAAGCCCAGCGGAAGCAACGTTGACGAGTTGTACCTTCCAACTTCAGCCTCAGCCACAGTGGCAGCAGCAGAGAGGAGGTGGATGCCAAGTGGAGAGACATGTTCAAACGCGTAAGGGGGGGGGGGGGGGGTGGGGGAGACCGAAGGAGCCGTCCGCGCGTACCAAATCGCTCTCCGCGTACTTTGAGCGAATTTTTTCTCAGCGTGGAGGGGGTCAAATTGAGTGGGACTTGTTGCAATGGCTTATCTAGAGGTTCCTGTAATAGAATATGTGAAGATCGGCGCGAGCTCAACTTTGGTGAGACACTGCCTTTAAGAACACTCGCGCACGTTTTCTACAAAATTATCTCAAACATGGGGTGTTTTGAGGAACTCACGCATTTTGAGTGCTACATTTGGAATCAGCGTCATGCAAAGGTCTGGATAAGGCAAAAAAATAGAAGTCGAGATTCTGCCCGAATGCCTTTAACGGCTTATTAGAATGAAGTTAGATAAATTTTTCTGCTGTGAGATTGCAACGATTAATTCTCTTTAGGTGAGATTCCGCAGATAGATGCAAAAGTGTTACATGTCTAATTTTTTTTTGAAACTTTTAGAATTTGCTTACTTTGAAAAAGTAATGGAAAATTCAAAAGTTGCTTGGTTACTTTTGTCTTACAGCAAGCTAACAAGCTGGTTCCACCCAAGCAAAAGAATTCTGTTTGAGAGCCGTTTAACAGAGACGAAAGTGCATTACATACATAGATAGAAGGCCGTTACATACATACATACATAGTCCCACGGCCTGTTGACTCAAATAGTAGGTTGCTGCGTAAGTTCTGCCTTTTTTGTGTGTGTAAAAGATCACTGTTACTTTGAATGATGAGAAATCTTCAGAAAATGCTTAATGTGTTCTGCTTCACATAATAGTCCAATTCAAGCTAGCCCAATTTGTCCTAGATTTCAGTGCTTTGTCTAGATTCCGATTTTTCTAAGAAAATCAAGTTTTCTAGTCATCGCACATGCTGTACATGATGGCACCCAGGTATAGGGCTCTGGGTGATCGCGAGAGTCGGTGAGTTTGCGGCCATTGCAGGTGCAGAATCGCAAGACCTCAAACCAACTAGGCGATCCCGTACATTTCAAAATCGTTCCAGGTGACTGGAAGCTAGAATCTGATTGCAGAAAAGGTATAAAAAAAGAGGACTGAGAAAGCTCAAGCTCGTGCAATGTCCGCCTTAGATTTCGAGCAGCCGTTCTAGGATGTGTTCAAAGGCAGTGCCCGGGGCAAGGAGTCGAGTCTGAGATTTTTTGCTTACCTGGGCGTATTCCTTATTGAATCCGAAAATCACACTAGAGCGCACAAAAAAGGCGAGAAAGGGTTCTAACGCAGGAAGAACATCAGCAGATGTGCTGGGTCTTCATGGCCTTTCCTTTGTGAAGTCACTCTCCCAACTTCCGAAGTGGTCCTCTTGGTTTCGGCTTCGGTCACGCGTTCGCGCTTGGCCGGAGGCAATGTTAGGCAAGGGACATACCTCACGCGATTTCAGTCGCCACGCGATCTGGCAATTTGCCAGATGTTTTCAAATTCAATACTGGTAGACCCCAAATGTACAGCATGTATAACTTTCGTAGGTTGGTAAAATGCCCCATCTTCCGTACATTCGGAAACCCCGTACGATGAGTTACGAACGTTTGGAATATTGCCAAATCGCGTCGCGACTGAAATCGCGTGAGGTATGTCCGAGGCCTTAGGGAGGCAGCGGAAGCGGGAAGTTCTCTCCGGGAGTGACTTCACAAAGCGGAAGACCGCGCCCACCTCCTGATTCCCCTCCTGCGTTAGAGACCTTTTCGTTCTCAAAGTGAAATTTTCGGACTCAGCATAAAATAGGCCCAGCAGAAATCCAAAATCGTCCTTTTGCACGGACACTGCCTTCAAACACATCCCGACTGCTCAAAATGTAAGATTTCATCAATAATCGTGACATTATATATTTGTGTGTCGTTATGTGCATGTATGATAATTAAAAAGCGAAACTTTCTTCGTTCTAAAGTAAGACTGAAATCTACAGTCAGCTTTGTGCAAAACATCAATGCTGATATCTATGTTCGAATGCGACGTTTTCATTTTAGGTGAAGCCAGAATGCTCGAAAGAGTTGACTAAGCCTCACTACTGGGCGGCTTCTGCTATTGGTTTTGCATTATATGGCGGATTGACATACGTCAAATTATATTGTACCTGGTGTTAGACCTTTTAAATTGCCAGTTACACATGTGGTCGTACTGGGTAAAGAACGAATGGTATAGCTGCCTTTGACGAGTATAAGTTGAAAAGACTAATTGGTTGTACTTATCATATGTTGTAATGGCAGGAACTATATAAAAAAGCCGTAAGCTTTGCGACATGTATGACACATTTATTGTTTCAATTTTTTCTGAGTGATGCCGTTGATTGTGATGTTGCTGTAGTGCTTTCCGAAGCATTTAACTTGTTGACCTCTGTCTCAGTGACAGTGTCGGCGGTTAGTGCGGCTCGGTTCCTGCATTCGAGCGACTTGGGAATCTGAATTGACTTCATCGACTGGAGGCAAGTAAGGTCTTGCGCTGCGGATGCACACCTCCCACGCTAAGGGAAGACGTAATCGACTATCCGCTGTTGATTGCTTGCAAAAGCATTAAGCAGTACTGAAGGCATAATCGAAGATTGTAGTCGAGGTAGAGGACACATCTAGCGATGAAAGGTCACTGCACTGGAAGAGATGCCGATAGGCCCCGCTTACTATAGTTAGCACCGAATATTCGTGTTCGAATAATTTATTCGAAATATTCGACTATTCGAATATTCGAATAATCGAATATTTGAGAAAGTCCATTTATTCGATTATCGAACAGTCGAATTAATGAAAAAGACCTATATTCGAATAACTCGTTCATTCGACGATTTTGAAAAGTGACTTATTCGAATATTCAATATTCAAATATCTTTTCTGAAACTCCTCATTCGAGAAGTTTAAAAAAAGGTTATTCGAATATTCGTTCATTCGAGTAGTTTTGGAAGATAGTTATCGAATTATTATTGCATTCAAATATTCGATTAATATTCGAACATTTATTTGAAATTATTTCGAACTAGCTGGCTTACCCGGCTCCGCCGTATCCGGACCAAACTTGGCACACATACACTTCGGGCCCCGGCGGGTGTCACAGTCCACTTTTCGTTATCGATCGATGTCGATTTTACCGATTTTTATCCATTTTTTGCAGAGTTCACCTACAGGGCTAGGAGTTGGCACAGGGGGGAAGTGAGCATGGGGATTCCGAATACAATATTAGTTTTCAGAATTATCGATTACTTTTATTGATTTTATCGATTTTTTGTAAATTTTGACATGCGAGGCTGGGATTTTGCACAGGGGGGTAATCGAGCATGCTGATTACGAACACAATATTAGTTTTCAGGATCGTCCATTACTTTTATCGATTTTATCGATTTTTTTGTAAAGTTTGACCTGCGGGGCTGGGAGTTTGCACAGGGGGTAATCGAGCATGCAGATTACGAATACAATATTAGTTTTCAAGATCGTCCATTACTTTTATCGATTTTATCGATTTTTTGAAAATTTGAGCTAGGGGGCTAGAATTGCACAGGGGTGTAATTGAGCATGCTGATCACCCCCCTTGAGGATGATCAGCATGCTCGATTACCCCCCTGTGCCAACTCCCAGCCCCCTAGCTCAAACTTTGCAAAAAAATCGATAAAATCGATAAAAGTAATCGATAATCCCGAAAACCAATACTGTATTCGGAATCCCCATGCTCGATTACCCCCCTGTGCGAACTCCCAGCCCCGTAGCTCAAACTTTGCAAAAAATCGATAAAATCGATAAAAGTAATCGATAATCCTGAAAACCAATGTTGTATTCGGAATCCCCATGCTCGATTACCCCCCTGTGCCAACTCCCAGCCCCGTAGCTCAAACTTTGCAAAAAAATCGATAAAATCGATAAAAGTAATCGATAATCCCAAAAACCAATATTGTATTCGGAATCCCCATGCTCGATTACCCCCCTGTGCCAACTCCCAGCCCCGTAGGTGAACTCAGCAAAAAAATCGATAAAAATCGATAAAATCGATATCGATCGATGACGAAAAGTAGCCTATGACACCCGCCGGGGCCCGAAGTGTATGTGTGCCAAGTTTGGTCCGGATCGGTTCAGAAATGGAATTTTCTATTCGGAACATACGTACAGACATACAGACAGACAGACATACATACAAACAGACATTCAGCTTTATATATAAGATATTCGATCAAGTTCGGTTATTCAAGTATTCGTTCAATCGAATTATGTGCCAATATTCGAATATTCAAATTCGAATGAAATGAAAATCGAAAGTGGAATAATATTCTTTCATTCGAAGAATTTTCGAAAATCAAATATTCAATATTCATTCGTACGAAAAATTTTCGAAAATTGATTATTCGATATTCGTTCATTTGGCGAAAATTTCTGTTTGTTACAACTGTACTGCTTACTATAGGATTCCCAAAGAAATGTGCACACCATCATTAATAAATCCCTTACTTTAATGTCTTTCGCCAATCACTGAGTACCTTGTGCAGAGCTTGCTTCAAGTTGAACTCAAAATGTAGAGCAGATTTCCAATCTTTTCTCGTCATGTAGGATTACGAGTGAACCTTCATACAACCCCACTACGAGGTAGGCCGATTGATGAATACCTAAATCCAAAAAAGTCAGGAAATTTGTGTAAAGGGTTATCACGCATATTGATTCATAACACAACTTTTTAAAGTTTTCATAACTTTTTGGTAATGTAATCACATCTTTAAGGAATGTTGGAAAAGTGTTTCAATAACTTGAGGAATCAATATGACTGCGATGTGCGGAATCCATATTTGCAATCAGCGGCTCTAATTAGCCTGGTATGAGGGCTTTTGACTTGTTTGGTTTTCCTCTAAGCAGCGACTCTTAATGGCTTAGAATCTCCCCCAAAGTTCTTATCGTAATCCCCCAGTAATAACTTGACAGGCAATGCCAATCTACATTGCCAATCTTCAGATTGGCATCTAAAAGTTAGCAAAATGCGTTGAAGGAGAGTTACTGACAATCGAACAGATTCATATTTTTTGGTGATACCTGTACAGGGCCCAGCAAGGTGACACTTGAGAATTTTGAAAATGAATTCTCCTTTGACAGAAGATTACGAAATACGTTTTGCTGTATTTGTGGAAGTACGGCTAATAATTTCAGCGAACCATGAGTGAATGGAAGTTAATAGACAAGGAAAATCGGAAATAGAACAGCAACACGCTAGAAAAATGCAGTTTTATATAATACAAGGGTCGTAACAAAGCAGTAGAGACGAAATTTGGGTTAAGGTAAGTTCTCATAGGTACAATTCGAACTGAAGAATAGATTTATGTGAAAAAAATTGAGAAATCACAACTTAGTTCTTACGAATGAGTCAGTGTTGGTCTCCAGTTCTACTGTTGAGGCACCTCTAAGAAATAGTGATCACGCTTCGGTCAAATTCCTGTTGAACTATCGTAAGTACTCGGATCCAGCTTTTGTTAGTTATAGAGATTATAAGCATGCGAATATGGAGGGTCTGACCGAATACCTCTCAACGTTAGATTGGTACGGTTCCTTCAATAGCGTAGTGACAGTGGTCAATGCGGCCTCAATAAGAGCGCCTATTTTGCTACTAACAAGGGAAGGATAGTTGGATGCCGTGGCCATTTTTAATGATTTGTATACCGAAAAATGCGCCTTCGAATGCAGATTCTGAATCTGTGCTCGAAATCTGCGAAACGATCTTTCGAAGAAAGTTATGAACTTTTCTCCTTGAAAATTTAGCCTACTTTTGGGTAGTAAAAATCACCAGATTTAATCTAGCCTACCGTTTGATGCTACTGAAGAAAATTTTAGACGTAGTAATATTTATTTAGACTATCTGGATCATACTCAGCATTTGGAAAGGAGAGAAAATTTTTTTATTCATGATTTTGACCCTCCGCAGGAACGCAATTTTTTAATGAAAAAAAATCATAACTCCATTCAGATTATAGTTTCGCAGATATGAAAGACAGTCTACGAACCAGCATTTAAAAGCGCATTTTTTGGTATACAAATCATTACGAATGGCTACGGCATCCAAGTATCCTTCCCCTGTAAGCCTTCTACTACTAGGGGTGGTTCGAAAAAACTTATCATTCCTAGATGTAAGCTAGCTGTGAGAAGAAATTTCTTTTCATGTCGTGTTTTGCACGATGTGGATAAGCTTATCAGAGATCGGGCATTTCTAGTTAAACTTTCTACCTTTAAGTCTATTCTACAACGCTATTTGCAGTCTTTTCATGATCGGTGATTATTTTGTTGTTCGTTAACAATTGTTTTCGTTTTTATTGTTATTCCTTCTCATAGGGACTTCCCTATGCATAATAAATAAATAAAATCATATGAAAAAGGAAAAAATTATGACCTTGTTTGGCTCCGCGCAACCGCAGGGTGCTCCCAGGTTGCGCGGGAGCAACCAAATTTAGGAAAACACTTACAGCTTCTTTCATTTACATAATTTTCTCATAATTTTTCATACTTTCCTTTTGATCATCGCCGCGAAGGTGCACAATTTTTGTGGCTCATTATTGCTTACCGGTTGTAAACGCATTGAATTATTTCTTTTTAAGCATAAAGATTGTGTTTTAACACGTTAAAATAGCGTGCGCACACGGGTAAGCACTTGTCTCGTTTGTAACGTATAATCTACCCTATTTTCAAGTGTATAAGACGAACCCTTTTCGCTTTAAAGGCAGCGTCCGGGCAAAAAGTCGATTTTGAGATTTTGTGCTTAACCGGGCCTATTCGCTATGCTGAATCCGAAAATCACCACTAGAGAGCGCGAAAACAGCGAAAAAGGGGTCTAACGCAGGAGGAAAATCAGGAGGGGGCGGAGCGTCCGAGAAGGTGGATTCCCGCTCCCAGCTTCCGGGACAATCTTCTCGGTTCCTTTAGTCGCCCTAACATCGCTACCGGCCAAGTACAAACGAGTGATTTGAGATCGGAACCTCGCGTTTAGAGCAAAAAAGGTGCGGCTTATACACCTGAAAATAGGGTACCTGTTACTGGTGAAAGACGTCGGAGTTAAAATAAGGGCTTACTAAGGGTTAGCTTTGTGCTTGCAATATTTTATCAGATTTCATGAAACCACCCCTGGGAACTTCGAGTTCCATTTTGCTTTTCTCTCAAAGTAACGTATTCAATGTGTGAAAGCGCCACCTCCGCTGAGCCCCGTACCTGTACATCAGAGAAAATCCACCCATAAGTAAGTAATATGCAAGTAATTGCTGAATGTGTTGAAAATCTCTC